CCCAGTCATTGACAAATACTGTAAAAAATTTTAGCACAAATACAGCAGTGGAATTTGGCCTAGAGAAATATGCTACAGTAGGAATAAATCAAGATAAAATCACAAACAGTAATAGAACTGAAATGCTGAATGGCCAAACCATCAGAAACCATCAGGATGAAGTCTACAAGTATCTGGGCATTTTACAGTTGAATAACATCAAGCACAGACAAGTTAAAAATGTGATTAGTCAAGAATAAATCCAAAGAGTGAGAAAACTGCTAAAGACAAAATTGAATGGTGGAAACACCATCAAAGCCATCAATACCTGGGCCCTACCTGTGATACGATACACTGCTGGAATTCTTAACTGGACACAAGCTGAACTGGACAGTTTGGACCGAAAAACAAGAAAACTCATGACTTCTCACTATGCGTTACATCCCTGTAGTGATATCGATGGATCGTTCCTGCCCCGCAGAAATGGGGGCAGAGGTTTACTTCAGGTCAAGCAAACTGCCCAGGAAGAAAAGCACGCATTGCCTGATTACGTAAAAGACAGCCAAGAACAAGCACTGATGCAAGTTAAAAATTGGAACTTACTGACTGTACAGGAAACAAAACATAAATATCAAAATAATATAATAAAAACGCAAACAGAACGCGGGCAAGGAAAAGCATTACACGGTCAATTTCTGCAAACGACCGAGGGGAAAGTGGATAAAGGTAAAACCTGGCCACGGCTTGCACCTGGAACATTAAAAAAAGGAACCGAAGGCCTGATTCTGGCTGCTCGAGAGCAGCTGGTCGAGCTAGCGCAGCCGAGGCCAGAGCCGAACAGTCATCCAACGGCTGCGCGGCGAAGCAGCAGGCCGCGCGCTCCGCTCGCGCAAGGAAGCGCGCAAACCGCCGCGAGCGCGCCGTCGCCGTCGCCCCTGCGGAATCCGCCGTCTGCCGGGAGTGAAAATGGGCGGGGCCCGCGGCTGAGCGAGCGCCAGCCGAAGCGGCCTCGGCGCGTGAGACGCCGGACTGCGCCGCGGCCGGGTGGCTGGCTGGCTGGGAGGGACGGTGGCC